CATTTGGGCAAATCCTGTGGATTATTTTATAGGTAAAACAGCCACATGCAGGTAGAACATTGTCATGGCATAAATATATAACCATCTCAGAAAAACTGATTGAGGTATTAGGAAAATATGATGGGTTTACCATACGTTTATTCTTAAAAGTTTAATACAGATGTTTAAAGTTATAGTCAAATACATCTAAAATGAATGCATTTTACTAATTAGCACTTGAGCACTTTGTAGGTGAGGACTGTCACACAGTACTCTAGTAACTAATTCTAATATCTAGGCAAGTATTAAGACTTATTCCATTATGTGTGAATGCTAGAGTTTCTGTTTATTTGTAAGCAGCGACTAATTTTTATCTATAAACTGATTTTCTAGAGATGAAAATAAGTTACAGAAGTCTGGGATGAAACAAAATATTTTTATACGGGTCGTCAGAAAAGTCATGAAGTATTTTTTCTATGCAAAAACATGTCATGACTTTTCCGACAAACTTATTCTTGAACTAGGCTTTATAGTGAGAAAGTCAAAGTTAGACAGTTACACCTCTTAAAAAATGTGAGACAGGAAAGTAACACCGATCCGTACAATAAGGAATGAAGTAGTAGTTTCATAATGCTGTTTCATTGATCTGTGTTTCAATTCCAAGGAGATTCCGAAAACCATGAACAAGATTAAGGCAGAATTTATGTACTACCGAAAAAGGATATAAGGGACTGGAGTTGTTTAGGATGAACTGAAGATAGCTTTCAGGTACATAAAGGTTTTCCTGATAAGACAGAAAATTTGCTAAAGTATGTTGCATGGGAACCAGTAGTTGGTGTAATGGCTATGTCACTGGACTCCCATGTAGTCCACTGTGGTTTGAGTCCCAGACCCAGTGGGTTGAACATACTGGGCGCGTGTGCGTGCATGTCCAAGATCCTGAGAGGAGATTGGAGGACAGGGATTGCGGCGTGGCCATCCTCCCTGGGGGGTGATTTCTCGCTTTCTGTCTCTCTGTCTCTGTGTTTCCCGCCAGGGCATGTGCCCTATAGCAAAAACTTCTCCCCCCAACCCCCCAAAAAAGTATGTTGCATGTAAGTATTTTAGGATCTTATTTAAGGAGTGGTTGTTAAATGAATGACAAGTTATGGATTGGGGAATGCTTTCTTTAGAGATTTCTCTTAAAATGGACCTACTACAAGTAAATCAACAGGTAACTACAAATCATCAAAATCATTACTTCATTTTCTGTATTTTTAACATCATTCACCTACCAGACATTTTCAGTAATTTTTATGTGTGATTATGTTTAATGATAACGTGTAGTCAATACAAACTAGCCGAATACTGCATATCATTTTCGTATAAACCTCATAACTCTAGTAGGTTTAAGGTGAGTTGGAGAGTATCTTTAATATGTATTTAGAGTCATGTAAAATGTCTATGACATTTTTGTTTCAGTACTTTGCCAAAAAATCTGATTAACAGGGTTTTAGACAGGAGACATTGATTTCAGTTTTTAAAGCTTTCCCTCCATTCCTGTCTTTAACTTCGAAATCTTTGAGGCTTTATTTTATTTGGTACCTTATGTTTGCACAACTTAGATTGACACTAACAGAAAATAAACTTTTTTTATACTGACAAGCAAGTTGATATGAAGTGACTATTAATCACCATGAATTCCAACTCATTTAGTATATAATTACTAAAAGTATATGTACTAGGGTGTTTACCACCAAAATGGAATGTATATTACATCATTTACAGGAAATGAAACTAGAAAGCAAAACTTTAACAATGGTAAATTGATTTTTTAAAAAAAGGACAGAAATGGTAACATTAAGGATATTTTCCACATTTTACTTGCTTAAAAATCTAGAAAAGAATTTTTTCTTAATTTAAACCTATTTTGTAAGTTTTAAAAGAACTTCTAAATTATTAGTGAATCCAGGATTAGTGTACCCTGTGTAGCAAAGAAGAGCCGGAGCTAGTCAGCGATTTCACTTATCTATTTAGTGTCATCCAGGCTTTATTTTCTTAAATTATACCAATTTCCCATTACCACATGCTGGGTAGTAAAAGATCTTTTTACAGAATGATTTTGTGACAGTTATTAATCTTGCTTGTACTTCAGTATAATAAGAAAAAAGTAGTTTGTCAGGCCATGACCTGTTATAGTGTATTTAAGTGCCAAATGCCTTTGTAAGTAGCACATATTAATTTATTTAACCATCACTTCAATTAAGGGAACCAGCACTGTTGATAAATAGGACTCCGAGGCTCGAAGAGGTGGTCACACATTGATGGAGCTGGGATTTGAACTAGAAAGTCTAGACCTTTAGTTCATGCTTTTAAATCACTGTTTTATTCTGCCTCATATCTTAATGATTCACTCTACAGAGTAGTTCTATTTAAAAAGAAAAAAAGACTTTCAAAATGGAGTTTATTTTACATTTAGCACCAGAATTTTACATTTTTATTCTACACTGGTCTCTTGTGACTATTCATTCTCAGTATGTTAGAGTATGTAAAACTCTTAACATACTGCCCTGGAAATTAAAACATGTTTAAAGGTCGATAGGTGGATAGCTGAGTGTGCAGAACAGATGCAATTTTGATTCAAAAGTACATTCAAACAAAAGAATCCGAATCATTTACTATTGAGCTTTGGAATTTTAATTGTGTATTTTTGTAGAATCAAACTTTTACTAGAAATAATATGGCCCCTTCTTACATGGTTTTAAAGAAATAACACATTAAGCAGATAGCAAGGTCTTCTAGGGTATTTGTACTTTGCCAGTATTTTTATTGTTTTACAGTAAGGGACAAATATAAGGTTTTCTGGTTTTGAATTATGAATCTGTAGGAACCATCACAGAAAACACAAATACGAATGTTTGGTATGTTATATTCTATTTTATTAACTGACTTTGTCTTTTTCAGAAATGACTTTTTAAATGAATTTTTGAAGTCAGCATTTAAATTTAGACAGTAGAAGGTACAGGCATGTTCATATTGATACCTCTTTAGCTTCTTTCTGAAACTGACAGGCTTGGTAGCATTAGTACTAACAGAACAGTTCATTTTGCTCTTTGTTGTTGATATATGCATTTTATTATGTGAATTTAGAATGATTCTTCTTATCTTCACTTTGAGAATCACTTTATTAGTAAGCCATGATTTCTGATAAAAGCAAAGGGAGAGATAAGGGGAAGATTGACAACAATTGATAAAGATGAATTAACTTGTATTATCTGAGTTGATCCCCAAATATGATGTATATTTATAGGTTTTGCTTGTTTATTTTTTTAAAGATAGGGTCTCCATATGTTGTAATCTTCCTGTCTCAGCCTCCCAAGTAGCTGAAACTACAGGCATACATAATCATCCCGACTTTTGAAAGCGGGCCTGAAGTGAACCTGATTCTCACATATGACCTAAACATCCTAAGTAGTGTCAAACAATATGTGTCATGGTAGCCAGGCAAAAATGCACATTTATATTTCTGTCTTATGGTGAGTTGAGCTCCTCATGGTTTTGGATATTAATCCCTTTTCAGATATATTGCTTGCAGATTTTTTTTCCCACTCTGTTATCTATCTCTTCACCTTGTTGGTTGTTTTTTCTAGCTACTATTTTAAAATACTTTACACTTATGGAGCCTTTAAAATATCTTTACTTACCTCATTCTGTTTTATGATTTCGGGGCTGGTTTAAATACCTGGTATATAATGATTTAAAATACTAGATATTAATATCTCCCACGTATTAGAAATGGTCTTGTGCTGCCTCTAGTTGGGGCTGTGATTTACAGAAATTTTATTACTCATTTATCATGTTAAGAATATTTTACATGTATGAAATAAGTAATAGTATTCTCATTTTACGAATCAACTGTGGTACAGAGTTATGTATCCATGTTCATACATTTGGTCAGTAGTAGAACAGGAAGTCTAACCTAACTTTGAAGTATAAATTATAACTCTGAAGCCTGCATTTTAAACTGTGCAGCCTGCCTGAAAATGATAGAGTCTTATTATTGAAGTAACTTTTTGAGAGATGAATACTTGGCAGTATTAAAAATCCAAAACTAACAGCTTTATCTTGTATAGTTAAACAATAATTTTGGGCCAGCAGGAGGTCAAGGCTGCTGGATCTCACATGACTGACTGTGCAATTCAGGTCCAGACCCACCAGCTTAAAAATCATGCCGGGCACGTGTGTGTGCGACCAAAATCTCAAGAGGAGAATGAAGGAGAAAAGATTGGGACATGGCTGTAAGTCCCCAAAGGGTGTTATCTCAGTCTCCCTCTTTCTCTTTCCATTGAACACACACGCCCTAAGCAAAGCTTAAAAAAATAAAACCACTGTTTTCTCTGTTATTCACATGAGGATCATGTGGAATGTTGTGGGTCACCTAGCCTTAACAACAGTCTTATTCTAACTAATATACCTCTGCTTTGATATAGATGCTGTTTCTCATTTCTTAATAGTATTTACTTTTTCCTGTCTTACTGGGCTTTATACACCATTACCATTATTATCTCTAAAAGCATCCTTATCTATTCCATCCAGTTCTGTGGCCCTCCCACTGTTTGCTTTTAAAAAATATATATTAACGGGCCAGTATGGTTGGTGGTTAAGGCGCTGGGCTCCTACATGTCCAGTCGCTGTTTGAACTTGGGACCTGGTGGTTTACTTTTTCACTTTCCCTTTTTCTCTCTCTCTGGTCAAATTAAAATAATAATAATAACAACAACGAATACAAATAAATAAATAATTCTTTTAAAAATATACATAACAGGGGACCAGCAAGTGGTGGTGTGGTTATGTCAATGGACTCCACGTAGTCAACCATAGTTCAAGTTCTGGACCTGGGAGCTTAAAACTCACACTGGGCGTGTATATGTGCGTGCCCAAGATCCCAAGAGGAGAATGGAGGAGAAGGGATTGCAGTGTGACCATCCCTCTACCCACCCCCGTAGTGATGATGCACTTTCTGTCTGTCTGTCTCCCTGGAAAGCACACGCGCCCTATAGCAAAAATCTCTCTAAAAATAATGTGTGTGTATGTGTGTGTGTGTGTGTGTACAGTGTTATTGTGATATAATTCAGACACCAGTTTGCCCATTTTTACTGGACAATTCACTATTTTAGTGTCTTCACAGAGATCTATAATCATTACCATAAACAATTTTAAAGTATTTTCATCATTCCAAAAATCAAACCCCATGCCAGTCACCTCCCATTTTTCCCTAAATTCCCTGACTCTAGCAGATACTCATCTACTTTCTGTTTTTATGTATTTGCCTATATAGCAATTGTCTGTAAATGGAATCATATAGTATATGTGATTTTGTGTCTGGCTACTTTCACTTAGCATTATGTTCTAGGTTCATCCATGTTGTAACATGTATTAATACTTCTTTTTATATAGATTTAACACATTTAATCCATCTCTTTTTCAGTTAATGGATATTTGAGTTTCTAATTTTTGGCTATCATGAACGATATGTGCAAGTTTTCATTTCTCTTGGGCATATACCCAGAAAGTGGAATTGTAAGGTCTCTGTTTAACTTTTTAAGGAACTGTTAGCCTATTTTATATTATACCTGCTTATATTATGCCATCTTATATTGCTGCCTGCTGTGTATGAGGGTTCCAGTTTTCTTATGTCTTGGTCAGCATTTGTAACTGTATATTTTTTTTATGGCCATCTTAGTGGATGTGTAGTAGGATGTCATTGTAGTTTTGACTTGTATTTTCCT